CCAACCTCATAGTTTGTGAACCACCTTTTAAAGAAACATTGTTTTATCCCGTGTGATACATTATTATTTATGATACAAAGAATATGTATGCTGTGATTTGAAAGAACTGGAAATTATTTCTCTCAAAAATTTTGCTAAACAATATGATAGCTCACTTTTTCCCAGATATCTCTACTTCTAGAAAATCTAGAATTTTCCTATCATAGTTATGTTTTATGACTTTTTAGTCTGCCTTTAGAATAACTCCTTGTATTTGTATATGTCTTTGTAGATACCTATCTTTTGTGTCTAAATAAATACTTTATCCATTGTCAATTTGACATAATGTCTCCCTGAGTAACTTTTAAAAGTCTTTCTCTTCTCTTCTCTTCTCTTCTCTTCTCTTCTCTTCTCTTCTCTTCTCTTCTCCTCTCTTCTCTTCTCTTCTCTTCTCTTCTCTTCTCTTCTCTTCTCTTCTCCCCTCCCCTCCCCTCCCCTCCCCTCCCCTCCCCTCCCCTCCCCTCCCCTCCCCTCCCCTCTCCTCTCCTCTCCTCTCCTCCTCTTCTCCTCTCCTCTCCTCCTCTTCTCCTCTCCTCTCCTCCTCTTCTCCTCTTCTCTTTTTCTTTTTTTTTTGAGACGGAGTCTTGCTCTGTCACCCAGGCTGGAGTGTAGTGGTGCAATCTCGGCTCACTGCAACCTCCACCTCTTGGGTTCAAGCAGTTCCCTGCCCCAGCCTCCCAAGTAGCTGGGATTACAGGTGCCCACCACCATGCCTGGCTAATTTTTGTAATTTTAGTAGAGATGGGGTTTCACCATCTTGGCCAGGTTTGTCTTTAACTCCTGACCTCGTGATCCACCCGCCTCGGCCTCCCAAAGTGCTGGAATAACAGGTACAAACCACCACGCCCGGCCTAAATGTCTGTTTCTGTAGGTTTGCCCATCACTTATATGATACTGCTATCCCTGGTTTAACAATATGAGATAGCAGTGTCAATCAGTGAAAATATCTTTCTTCTAAAACACTGAAGGAAAGGGAGACTTGTTGAAGAGCATTCTCTTCTTATTGATTTATATTTTATTTTGTTTTATTTTATTTTATTTTTTTGAGACAGAGTCTCACTCTGTCAACCAGATTGGAGTGCAGTGGCATGATCTCGCCTCACTGCAACCTCTACCTCTACCTCCCGGGTTCAAGTGATTCTCCTGCCTCAGTCTCCTGAGTATTTGGGACTGAGTATTAGGGACTGGGTTTAACCATATTGGCCAGGCTGGTTTTGAACTCCTGACCTCAGGTGATCTGCTCACCTCGGCCTCCCAACTTTGTGTTAGGATTACAAGCATGATTCACTGTGCCTGGCCTAACGCAGATTATATGATAAGAAGTATCATACATAATTCTTTAAAAAATTTTTTTAAATAATTTTTTATAATTCTTTTATTAAAAAAGTACATCATTCTTTAAAATCTAAACAGAATTATGTATACATGTATGGGCTCAAACTTACCTTTGTGACAGTTCATATTCATTACCAAATACCATCCTGCCTACTTCTTATCATATCATCTTTGTTTCATATTTTGACTAACACAGTAAATATAAATAGTCTAATCTTTTTCTGGAGCAAAAATCCATCAGTAGATGACCTTCTGTCCTCTGAAGGTCAGAAGCTTCACTGCTTGTCTTCTGTGTTACTGACTTTCTGCGTTCCTTCACCTCCTTTCTGGTTTTTCTGTTTCAGATTTGTTCTGCAGATGGTTGCGCTCTCACTCAAAAGGTTTCACCCCCTTCCTAAAAAGCTCAGGGCTCTCCTGCGCTCCACTCTCACCCTATTTTAACACACCTACCTCTGTCCTGTATGTCAAGCCTGAATTTCTGCCCCTGCATCTGTTCTCATGGCTAACTTGAATTACTCCTAGTGTTGCAGGCAAATTAGTGTTTCTTTATAAGAGAAATGCAGTGTATGGAAAATACTTGGGCTCCGATCGTATCAATCGCTTAGCCACTTTGTCACTCCACTTCTGGGTGGATACAATAGCAGATTTAAATAAAATTGCTAAAACGTGTACTTACAGATACCAGGTATTTGTATCTTTGCATTCTCAGCTTCTAACATATACTGATGTGTAGTGACACTGGAGAAGGAAGAAGAGATGGTTCTTTTTACATTTCAAATGCTGTGCTCTGCACAGAACTGCTTCCTGAGTCTGGCCATATTACACACCAGTTGAAATGGTATTTTTCTGTATTTTATTTTATTTGTTTATTTATAATTCATTATAAATTAATTGTAATTCCAGAAAGGTCTGCTATAAATGCAAGGCTTTCCTCACCACCCAAAGGACCAATTGGATAGAATTTAAGAAAGCAGAAAATGACAATAAATCAATACATAATAACTTCATCTAAATCAACATATAATACAGAAAAACATATCTATGAGTAAAATGTGCTAATTTAGTAATTGGACTTTAATATGAATTGTAATGTTTCAGTTTTCATTTCAAGATTTTTTTTATATTTGGAAGCTGTTTCTGTAATTGATATTCTTCCTTCTGTCACACCTGGTGTTTCCTTGAAGTATCTCAGAATGATGGTGACTTAGTATCATCCTAAAGCAGATTTTTAGTATTCCCGACTGTAGTTAGAAATGTATCTAGTATTTTAAGCACACATTTTTTCAGGGTGAAATAAAAAACTCAGAGATATATGGTAGATGACCTTGCTAATATGTGCTAGGAAAGAAGGGATGGGATTTAAATGTAGTAATCTATATTCTAAAGTTAAAAGAGTTTTTTTACTTACATTAGTAAAACAAGTTAAAGGCCTAAGTGATTGTATTTTTTTTTTTCATATTAGCAGTTTTATCTTCTATGTAAAGCCCCAGTGGCTTGAAAATCTGTGGTAGGAATAAAATATATTGCTGCTTAATGCTTATGGTGTTTTATACTTCTAAAAATACAGCCATTAAGAAAAAATCTATTTTGACTTAGAAAACCATCACGGCACTCGTCATTCCTGCTCATTCTAAACAGAATCAATGGGTTCTGTGGCTTGACATTACTCAGCTGGTTTCTGCACCGGTGGTTTCCATTCTGACCTGAATTCCCTAGGACAGGATTCTCAAACGAACAACCTCAGTGCTGTAAAATGAAGACACTTCTCTTTCCATTTCATCCTCTCAGATTTGGGGAAACACTCCGCAATCTGGTGAACGGGTTTGGGATGCTGTTGCCTTCGACTCAACACTTGGAGCACTGTTGGGGTGCGCCTCTTACAGGCTCCAACATCAAGGCAGTAGAGGAAATGTACTGTCAGCTCACCACACAGGGGCGCTCAGGTTCATGTACAGGGGCAACCGACCTGTGCAACTCTGACAGCCAGGTTGACTTCACTTTACCTCTCATTTCATACCAGAAACAAGGAGCCTGGCTAGGAGGGTCTGGTGGGGACTGGAGTTAGTATAATGCGTCTGGCACAGTGACAGCCACACAGGGGCGACCCCATGTTTCCCTTGGCCTTTGTGCCGACTCTGTAGCTTCAACCCAGAGCTGCTTCCTGAGCGGGCGCTGCCTGAGTCCCACCAAGTCTCATGCTCCTGGCCGGTGGTTTTCAAATTCTTAATCATTTTATCTTTGCACTCGTGCTGGCTGTCTGTTTCTTTCTTCTTTCTTCTTTCTTTTCTTTTTCTTTTTCTTTTTTTTTTTTAAAGTAAAGTCCGATGAGACACTGGAGCAGGGATGGAGCAGGGAAAGTCGACTGGCCTCAGGGCAGAGCCCTGCATGGGGACTAGGCCCATGGGCGGTGCAGGCAGATGTATCTTCATTGTGGCTGGGGACCACTACTAGCAAGTGGCTACCCCTTCGTGGACCTGTTTTCCAGCTGTTTTTTGTTTTTGCTTCTGATTAACTAAAGTCCTTCTCCCCTCCTCTACCCCAGCTTCTCTTCTGAGTCCCAGTCAATTAAGTAATCTGATAAGTTCATTCATGTTCTTGTTAAGTACAAGAACTGAAGTATGAATCCAAATTCATGTAAGGAATGTGAAGCTGGCCTGCCTAGAGAAGCCCTTCTCCATGATTTCATCATGACATGTTAAAATAATGGAATAAATTATTTGCTTTCAGTAAGTCCTTAGCACCATTTCAAATGCATTTTTTAAATTAAATGAATTAATTCATTCATCAACATCCAATGCTGTACACCTCAGATCCTCAGAGGTTGTGCAGCTCGTAATGTAAAGTTTGTACCTTTTGATAAACCAAAATATATTTTTGATTCTATAAAATATTATAGCTGCATATCTTCTTTATTCTTATGGTAAGGATTTATGGAGAGGTTTCAGTGTTAAATAATACTTCATTTATCTGATACTTTAGGCTGAGTTCCGATATTATATGATGCCTTTAAAAAAATCTGTGAGTGTTGTAACTGAATGCAATTCATCTAGAAAAGTGTGAGATTATAGCTTTAGGGTCTGTAAATACTGTTCCTATTTAACAAAGAACAGACTGTTTATGAGATCTTTTTTTGTTATCTTTAAAAGAAGAGAGAGAGAGACTGAACGTAAAATATTTGTTCTCATATTATTTTTTCTAGAATAACAGAATACCCATATTCATACATAATTTTTTTTTTATAAAGGCTGCTAAGTGTGCTTGGAAAACAAGTGAGGACAATATCCTGTAGTTTTACATATAATAAAAACACAATTTTTTGAAAGACATTTTAACAGTATGTATATATTGAAGTTGGGATCTTGTATACTCGATGTGGAAGTAACAATTTTTGTTATTTAAATCAAAGCCTTGATTCACTATGTCATGAGCATGAGATAATTTAATATTTAAGAATTAGCTCTGATTTAAAGATGCTTGAAGTCTTCTTGGTAGAATAACAAGAGAAAGAATTGAAGCCTTTGTTTATTTCTACAGAAGAGGAGCAACAGAAAGAGACCTTGGTGGTTCAAATGGTAAGAATATTGTTTCTGTCATATAATTTCTAGCATCTGTCTTTGCATTTCTAGCTGTAGGTCTTGCCGCATGCCAGGAGCCAGCCGTCCCCAGCAACAGCATCAAAATCGGAGACCGTTACACGGTGAACGACGTGCTCTCCTTCCAGTGCGAGCCTGGGTACACCTTGCAGGTATCCGTCTCAGTTCTCAGGATTGCCACACACATGGTCATCTTTGTGCTGCTTGCTTCCAGCCAAAGCCCTCACTTTGCACCCAGAAAGCGAATTTGGTTTTCCTCACTCAGTTTGTGAATCATACTTTTCCTATTAAATTGTGGATGTTGGTCATCTTTTGGAAACAGCCTTTAAATGATAAAGCAGTCTTTCAAAGCTAAGCATTCGATCTTTCAAAATTATTTAATTTCAAAATGTAGGTGTTCCCATTAACTATGCAGAGAGCATTCCAGGGGCAAAGTATCAACGCTGCCTCTTTCAAAGTCCTCCCCGGGCAGCCAGTGATTACATCTGCTTCTGAGTCATGTGCATTCCCTCCTCTGCAAACTGTTCTCAGCATTCCGTTCATCATTAATGCCCACTTGGGCTAGGTAAATAAGGCACCAAAAAGAAAAGACCATCTAGGCTGAATCTTTAAGATGCAACATTCCTGTTCCATGTGCTGTGATAGAAAGAATTATGCTAGGCCAGGTGCAGTGGCTCACATCTGTAATCCCAGCACTTTGGGACTCCAAAGTAGGAGGGTCACTTGAATCCAGGAGTTTGAGACCAGCCTGGGCAACATAGCAAGACACCATCTCTATAAAAAATGGAAAAATGAGCTGGGCATGGTGGCGCATTCCTGTAGTCCCAGTTACTTGGAAGGCTGAGGTGGGAGGATCATTTGAAACAGGAGGTGGAGGTAGCAGTGAGCCGAGATTGCACCACTGCAATCCAGACTGGGTGACAGAGCAAGGCCCTGTCTTAAAAAAAAAAAAAAAAAAAAAAAAAAAAAAAAGAATTATCTTTCATATCTCAAGGGTCTCATTTAGAGCAGCACCTCAGTCTATACTGACATGATGTTTTTGTGCCTCATTTGGGGCTTGCTTTATAATTGCTTGAAATCAGGTAAATATCATATTTCCTCTTATCCCTCAAATTCCCAAACATTTGCTCTTTAATATTTGTCCTTGCTCATGGATGTCTTTCTTTTTTCTACTTGATGGTGAGACTTTGCCATTTCTGTTGGCATTCTTTTTCAAGTGATGCTATGGCAGCTCTCAGAAGAGAACAGAAATAAGTCTTTACCAAAGAAATTTCTTGTTATGGATTATTTAATACGCTGCTTAGGGACAAGGCCGTGGATGCACTTCTGCACAGTCCAGTCAGAGCGTTCGTTAACTCTGTTTTTCAAATGAAAACTGAGCTGTGTTTCTTTTCTTCATTACAAACCACGCCAAGCTTTGAGTTTGCAAGCTGCTGTTTATCATTCACACGAGCAAAAAAGGATTCTGGATTTTTTTTTAATTGCTAACAACTGACAATTTTACTAACACGTTAATATATTTGGAGCAACAGATGCATAAATTGCATATTAGTATGAAAGCATTGTTCCTTGCACAGTTCACATGTGAGTGTCTATAAATATGTAAGCCTAGTGAGATTTAGGGGCCTGCCATGACATCAGATGCTGAAACTAAATCCTGAATATTGGAATGAGGTATGACTTCCATCTTTTCTCAACTTGTTTTTATGGTCTTTTAAAATATAAAAAAGGAAATTTCCATTTGAGTAAACACTAGTAAATAAATGCACAGGGTCCTGACTGGTTTTGATTCATTAGAAAACTTGTAGCTAGAATCACTCATCTGAAATGTTTATATCAAAATCAATAGCAGAATATTACCTAGATTGGTAATAAATGACCATTTTATTGGTAATCGTTGATGAAAAATTTTTGAGGCTTTTAAACTTTGTGTTTACTCCTATTTCAAGGAGTTTTATAGAAGGAAATTTATAAGGAGAATTTAATGCATCAGAGAATGGGTATACACAGAATATAAATGCCAGCAGCCCAGAATTGTCTGCAGTACCTTCTTTAAAATTAATATAGTCTTCTTTGCTGTAACTCCTTTAAAAAATATAAAGAAGTATGAGAAAGTTAGTTTTGTGGCAGATGGATTGAGTATGAAATGTTAGAGAGCTTAGGAAATCGGTTTGTTACTGATAACTGCATTTGTACAAATTCTTGTTTGATGCATTCCCACTGTGGCTGGAATTATTTGACATAGTTTAAATATTGTTTTTCAACTGCCTCTATGCCAGTTGTGGGTGGCAAATGGAAATTTATGAGATAAGCAAGCCTGGCTGATAAGACTGAGTCACAACCAGGAAAACAATAAAAATAGACTGCACCCAGGTCTCCCTAATCACCTGTCTTTAATTGTGAAAGAGATGTTAGCACAAAACATCTCTGAATTTAACCGTCTGCTGTTTGATTTTATTTTCCAGTGAGAAAGACTAGAACAAATTTTTTTAAGTAGAAAGTTGAAAACTTCGTATGTTTACAGAGTAAAGAGACCCTGAGTGATGAGGGTTAATTTCACTGCAGGCGGGTTGATGTGACAAAGTGTGAGGCTGTCTTGTAAGAAAATGAATGTGAAGGCTCCTTTTACGGGTGATAAAGGAAGAGCCTAGCGAGTGGTTTGCTGAACCCTGGTAGCCATGTGACTTGTAACCGCAGGCAACCACAGAAGCTATGTTTTCATAAACAGGCTTTGCATCGCTGACGTTTTCCCTTCTCATCACTACCTAGTGCTTTTGAATTGCTTTCAGCCTCTTAGGCCAAAAGCTATACATTCTGATGATGAAAAAACTGCATACTTTATGCAATTTAATACTCTTCTTTAAATACCAAGAAAGGAGCTGGGAATTATTGTCTGGTCAAAGGGACGTTGCAAGATTCTGTTTTTAGTAGGAGGAAACACAGTGAAAATTGATACTTTTCTATGTCGGTTCAAGATATGACTCAGTAATAAGCATTAGCTAAAACAGATTTCACAAATTTTGAAATATGATTAAAACAGGAAAGGAAAAATGGCAGATATTCTCAAACATTTAATCCTTAAATGCACGGTTTAGTTATGTGGGTTTTCTTTTCTTTTAAACAGGGCCGTTCCCACATCTCTTGTATGCCAGGGACCGTTCGCCGCTGGAACTATCCGTCTCCTCTCTGCATTGGTAAGGATGCAGCTCCTTCACTCTTGCTGTGCGCAGGCTGGGAAGAACAGACCTGCCCTGCTCTTGGGCTTCAGATGATGCGCTTCTGAATTTCGTAATCTCAGAACATGTGCTATATAACGATACAGTGTAATGCAGTGGAGCAGAATGACGAGCTGAGCCTGCACCCTCTCCACTGCTTGCAGCAACTCTGTCCTCTCAGTTTGTCTGGGTCCAGACCAGAGGCAAGACTGTCTGCTCAAGGCACTACACCAAAATGACATTTGTGTCAGAAGGCCAGTTATTTTACCTGTGGCAAAGACGGAATGCAGCTGGTCTGAAAGTCTGAGTAGTTTTCTCTGTAGACCTTTAGCCTCAGAAAAGACAAGTTCCCAGCCATAGGAAGGTTGCTGATGCAGGGTACCCTTTGCTCCCCATCATTCAGGCTCCCAGCTTCAGCCACCACCTAATGTTGTAGGCAAAGTCAGAAATCTTTACCTGTACCTCAAGCACCGACCACTCAGCCTCGCAGGCGCTGTCCCACGGTCCCAGCAGGATCGTCGTCGGTTGCTTCACACTCTACCCCCGACCCACCTCCCACTACTGATTGGCTTCTCCAAACCTGTTGTTCTCCTGGATCTGCTTCCTTTGAGAATGCTATTAGCAGTATTCTGCCTTTTTTTCTTTCTTTCTTTCTTTCTTTTTTGCCTAAACAAATCTGGGTGTTACTTTAAATTTCTCCCTTACTCCCTAAATCCAAGTGATTTCTCACTCTTGTCAAGCCCTCCACCTGACTGTATCCTCCCCTGTGATTCTTAGCCCCAGTACCCCATCTTCATGGCATAGTCCTCTCCTAAATATCTCTGTGGGATCCTAACATGAGGCTCCCATATTCAACCATACTCCAACGTATAGGAAAGAGCCAACAGGAAAAATCAGCAGTACTGATCTTGTCTTTATTTAACATTTTCATATTTTGTTAATCATAGATTTTTTTGCATTTCTTTTGATTTTTTTCAAATATTGCATTAAAATATTTATTAGGGGGTTTAGGCTCCATCTTGAAGTTTGCACTGGAGCGTCCTCTCCTCAATGCCGTCTGGGTTCCCACCGTCATGTGCAATGCATCGTCCCTACCCTGGGCTACCACCCACCATGTGCCTGACTTTACTTCCTGCAGAGCTGTAATGATATTGCTATTTAATTTGCTCTTCTACAATCTCCCAAGACTTCGGTGACAGAGACACGCACCACTCACCTGTGTACCTTCAGCACATGGTACACACTCAAGAATTTCAATTAAAGAATGGCTGGGAAATGAATGAGTATCAGAGCATGGGTCATTGCAATAGTCACACTTCTGGGGGTGGTCTTTATAGCTCCCGAGAGTGTTGCAACACTCAGGTATTGCTGGGAGTGCACAGAACCCACCTACCTCCAGACGGTTAGTTTCAAGCACCCCATACTGCCAAATGGTGTTTCAGGAGAAAGTGGTCAACTCCATGTGGATAAACATTAGCCATTTTAAAGGGCACAGTGTAGCCTTAAAATGGTCCTATAAACTGTTCACATACTGTTTAGAATTCATTTTGGCACAGTGTGGTGTGGGTACCCACAAGTAAAGCAGGTAATCATTGTCTGTTACACATTCTTCTGACAGCCTCATTTCCCCACATCTCAAATAAATTTAGGTATTCAATGGCTCTTAGTAATACACAGTTGAACTGCCTTGCATGGGATGCAGATGGAATTGTGTACAGAGGAAAATTAAACTGCAAGAAGCCTGTAAAACAAACAAAACTTCAGCCTTGACAATAGCCTCATCCAGGAGATGATGACTGTTTATGTTATGCTCACTCTATCATATTTGCTTACAAAAGTGAAAAATATACCTTAGTGGCCAGTATCTTATCTGTAAAGGCTATTTCTTGGTAAAAATAAATGTCTAGATTAACATGTCAGCTAAAAAAAAGTTACTCCTACAGATGTTTAAAATCCCAGCCTTAATTTGGAAGGGAAAAATGGGGAAAGGACTGCCTTTGACTCATGCAGAACACCAATCTGCCCATTTGTTTTTAAATGAAGAGCCCTCCTTTAAAGGTAGAAATTGAAATTTTTTAAACTTCACAATGAAATCAATTTCAAGCAGGCATCCAATCAAATAATATGCCTTTGCTGTCACTTTATATTAAATAATGGGATGTTTTATTCAAATAATTAACTTATATTTGCAAAATATATTAAGTTTTTTATTTAACATCTTAAATATTAGCACATGTTGAAATTATATCAACTTCTGTAATCATTTACAGGGCATACAAGTATTTTCATTGTTGAAAACACTCGCACATGACCTGTTATAAATCCCAAAGACCAATTCTAGAGAGCAAACAGCATTTTTTGTTTGGTTTTGGTTTTATTGTTTTTTGGGTTACTTTTCGTAGCTGTTAGCTTTATATAACACCAAACTGGGGAATTTTATGAGTAGAAGTCCATAGAGAGATAATATTTTACTTATGAGTTCCTGGAAATCCCATGACCTAATTTTGAAAAATACTGGTACTAATGAAGACAGTGTATATAATATCACTTCTCTAAAGGTTAACATACCAAGCAGTGTTCTCAGAGCTTAACCAGTATGGACTATTTTGAATATATATAACAAACCCAGATTGGTCTCACAATTTTCCAGGTCTCTATAGGTGGGTGAGGTTCAAGTCTCAGCAATGCCCTGGGACCTCCCTGTCTCACTGCACTGCTAGGCTCTTCAGCAGGGTGTGGTCTGTGTCCTTGAGTAAAAATTCTGTATATTCTTTGTCCCCACAAAACCAGGAATCTACACAAAGTAAGATATAAATCTAGTAAAATATAAGGTCTCTGGCCATTTTATAGAAATAAACTCCTTGCCCTTAGCAACACAGTTAATGTCCCAGAATTTTCCCGTATTATGACTCTCACCACAAAACAAACTTTTAAATGTTTATAACTTACATTTTTCAACTTATACAATGTTTGAAATCCGGAATATGATGCCCTTGCTTGAGCAATCACCATAGTTACTAGACTTGAGTTTTAGCATATTTACCAATAACTCTAAATATGCTATTTACCTATAAGAAAGGGTCTGGCATGGAGGGAGCTTACCAGGCAGGAGGCAGGAAGTCAGTCCATGATGTGATGACCACACAGAGATGGACACCGAACCCATCTAGGACATGGCAAGCCCAGTCACCTTAAAATGTCACAAAGGAATAAAGATGTATACACATCTTTTGGGAGCTCTGTTTTTATGCTTATCTATTGACTTATAGTTTTTTAGATGAGCAACAGCAAAAAAAAAAAAAAAGGGGGGGGTGTGGGGAATTATATGTGATTTTAAGTAAACTCTGAAGTAAATTGGTGATTGTTGTGTGTTTGACAGGAGATGAACCCAAAGGTCAGGCCCATGATTAGTTTCTTATCACATGGACAGTTGGTCTGTGTGGGACACAGACATCGTGTTGATGACACCATCTACGTTCAGGCCCTGGGCCAGCTCCTCCTGAAGGGCTGCCTCAGTCCTCAGCTGAGGATGTACATGGCTGTTTGTTATGATTTTCGTGTGTGTGTGTGTGTGTGTGTGTGTGTGTGTGTGTGTGTGAAAATCATACTAAAATCTAAAGGAACATTCTAGTAATGCCACATTTGCTGGTTCTTTTGTTTTCTCTTTTTGTGTGTGTCATTGATTTGGCCTTTTTCATTCATGCCTTCCCTGTAGTTGTGTTACAGGAAAGGGGTTGAGGTTCCGACTTCAAGAGCAGGTTATTCAAGCTCACACAAGAAAGAATTCAGGGCAAGTCCACAGAGTAAAGTAAAAGCAAGTTTACTGAGCAAGTGAAGCAATAAAAGAATGGCTACTCCTTGGACAGAGCAGCCGCGAGGGCTGCTGGCTGCCCATTTTTATCGTTATTTCTTGATGGCATGCTAAACAAGGGGGAGATTGTTCATGTCTTCCCATTTTAGACCTTACAGGGCACCCTCCTGACGTTGCCATGGCATTTGTAAACTGTCATGGCGCTGGTGGGAGTGCCACAGTGAGGACGACTAGAGGTGACTCTTGTGGCCATCTTAGTTTTGGTGGCTTTTAGCCTGCTTCTTTACTGCAGCCTGTTTTATCCGGAAGCTCTTTATGACCTATGTCTCTTGCACTGACCTTCTGTCTCATCCTGTGATGTAGAATGCCTTAAACATCTGGGAACGCCGCAGTAGGTTTCAGCCTTATTTCATCCAGCTCCTATTCAAGATGGAGTTGCTGTGGTTGGACACCTCTGACAGATGGATATACATACCTGCTGTCACTGCAGGTCACATGAGCCCTAAGGGAAAGGGTACTACTGCTGAATGTATTTAGGCATGCCACTCAGACTCACTGGTGTGTCTTCAGCACAATCCACAGCTGCATGAACAAAATACAGGCAGGAGCCTGGCCTTGCAAATGCCCGGCCTCTCCCAGGAAGAAGTCGCCCTGAGAGATTATACTTAAAATAGCAACACAGTTGATGTGGTGTAAGGCTTTTCCTGAGTTATCACTCACACCACAAAAATAGACTTAGATGTTGGTAACACATTTTTCAGCCTATTCGGTGTTTGAAATCCAGAATATGATGCCGTGGCTTGAGCAATCACCATATTCACCAGCCTTGAGTTTGAGCTGTTTCTCATATTAAATCACAAATAAACTGTTTGAGCCTTGATGATGATTAAAAAACAAAAAGGCTTCACTACAGCTCCTAGGGAGGCTCTGAAAGACGACTTCCAGAACATATTTTGTTCAAAATATTTTCCTTAATGAGAGCATTGTTAGAATAAGAACAAAGCCATTTCCTGTGGACTTCCCGAAAAGAAGTGGCGTCATTCACATGAAGTTCAGAATATAAGGAATTGCCATTTTAATAGGTTACAAATGGTCAAAGATGGGAATTTCAAATGCTTCAACCTGTATCACTGGGCATGTCTGTTGTAAAATCAGTTGTGTGTCTTTATAGTCAAACCTCAGGTACAGTAGCAAAACATGTGAGTCGCCAAGACACGGGAACATACATGAACTTACTTTACGCTCTCTCACAGCATAAGATTTCCTGGGGAGAAAGTGGTTGCAGTTCGCTACATTCCGAAATTGAAAGGCTCTCTGACAGTCCTGTGTCTTGGCGGAAACGTGGGTTCTGGAACCAGCTGCAGCTGGAATGGCCTGGTTGTACTGTTCACCAGGCATGTCACTTCAGGCAGATTTCTTAATCTCTTCCAGGCGTGGTTTCTTTATGCATAAGAGGGGAATAGTAGTAACACCAGCATTTCAGAGTTGTTATGTGAGTTAATCTATGTAATGTACTTATCTAGGCACAGTACATAGTCAGCAATCAATAAATAGGAACGAATTCTACCCCTCAATGAATAGCAGCTAATAAACTGAAGTCTGCTTGCTGCCTGACTGTAATCCAAACATTAAATGGAGTAACCTTTACTGGGAGAAGACAGATCTTGAAAAATGGCCGTTTCTGAAGCAGAGTTCACTGTCAGGAGGGAGAGCTCAGCGCGTAAATAAGTGAGGCACACAGCACCGTATTGTGTGCTGTAAGTAGGGGCAGAGCTCAGCTACGAAGTCTTGCTCCTTCCTAGCATAGTTGAGTGAAGCAGGTTGGATCAGAGATTCCAGGGAGAAAGTGAGGACCCGCAGGACTGACATCTTGTCTGCTTCACAGCCACCTGTGGAGGGACGCTGAGCACCATGGGAGGTGTGATCCTGAGCCCCGGCTTCCCAGGCTCTTACCCCAACAACTTAGACTGCACCTGGAAGATCTCATTACCCATCGGCTACGGTAAGTGCAAACAGGTTTAATTCCTAAAAGGTCATTTTATTTTTTTCACTTCTACCTTGGAAAGAATTCAGCAGAATAAAAAATAGGCCTTATTCTGTTGACATAACTATCTTTAATTGAAAGTGGCTTACAGATTTGAGTAAAGCTTTGACACAATAACTTTTGAGAGCGGAAACGTTATTGGAAAAATCAGTGCAGCTCTTTTCAAGGCAAATTAAATTGGCTGGATGATAATGGAGTAGTGCACATAGAGTGCAGAACGTAGCGTCCCTAATTCAATTACCAAGCTCTTTATGTATGATCACGCTTTTCCTCATCTATCTCTGGAAGGCAATCACGGTCACTGTTTCTTCTGGATAATTTTGAAGGCTTTTTAAAGGTTATGACTCATTTTAAATTATGAAACAAATTTCAAGAAACAGTATTGTTTCATACACTTTTATTATATATTACATTGTTTTTAGGTTTATAACTGTTTTTAATATCTAGTTATTAACATTTAGGTTGTCACTTTAATTCATAAATTTAATTGTGTATACTATTTCAGAACCTCGTTCTAGCCTCTCTTCAGAAATGCATGGTCTTTGTGAAGTGTTGATCCCCTCTCACATCACTCCTTGTCTGCCTCCTGGTTTCCTTCATATTTTAATTCATTTATTTGGGTCTTCCCTACCTGTGAATTTCTCTACAGCACTCACTCCAGGTGGACCAAGTTAGGTACTCAGTGAATGTCCTCGGGCAGAGTGACTGGGTACTTCCGTGCTAAATATTAGCTGAGTGATGAATGACTGAGTACAGCCATAAATAGAAATCACTGCCCTGGAAGAAGATCGCACGCTTTGCTCAGAGCTTCTCCCTTTAGAATCTGTGCGCAGGTTGGCAGTAGCAGCAGGGGTGAGCTGTCGGGGTGGACTTGCTCAGCAGAGCATGGCCGGGGAATAAATGGGCGGGATGACGGCCGGGCAGATTGGTCAGGCACTGGATGTGCCAACACGACTGTTCCACAAGGGAAGAGGAGGACCTAGGAGGGGCAGCTCGATGGGATGGCAGCACCTGTGGAGTTTACCACCATCCCGCCATCTGTAGGAGGCCATGCCTGGCAGTGGTCAAGGAAGGGAGAGACTGTGAAAGGGATATTATAGGAGCCCTCTACTTCTCCCAGCTTTCTCAGTTTGATAATTTTTTTTTTCAGTCATAATATCTGAGCATAAGGCAGTGATTATGTGAGAGCTAAATGAAACAGAGAGCTGTGAAAAATTTCCAACAGCACTGGCTCCACTGCTCTCCCAATCTGGGCCCGCTGTCCTTGCCATGGAGATGTGGAGACACGAACTTGTTGAATTAATCTTTGGAGTCAGGGGTTAAGGGTTGTATCAGAGATAGGAGTAATCCTGGATAGTTTCCGCACTTGTAGCACTCTTAAGGATCACAGCCTTTTGGGGCAAATTATAGTCCTTCACAGAATCAGAGAATGAGAGAAATCTGACGCAAACTGAAGCTGTCCCTGACCAGTTGTGCTTTTCTTAAATGAGTTAATCCACAGGAACCCCAGCTTCCTCATTCCCGTAGCTGAAATAGCTACATAAGTTTTTGGTGATGGTTAAATAAAATAGGTCTGGCTAGAAGGTTAGTGCAGGGCTTGGCATGTAATAAACAACAACAAAAAACTGAAACAAACAAGAAAATCACCTGGTTATATTTTTTATTATTCTTCCAAATGTTTGCCACCTTCCTCTCAAAACTAAGTAGAAACATTCTGTTTATGAAAAGAAAAAGTGGGTATAAATATCTTCTTGACATATTTTTCCAATGTTACTGTTTTATCATTTCTGAGAAGGGCATCATTTAATATATTTTTTTTTTATTTATTCGTTCCTAAACTATTGTTCAAGAGAATAATTTGGGAAAAAATTTCAATGCAACCAAATTGTCTAAATTCATATTTTGGATCTATAAACCTAAACAAACTATTTAAAGAAAGATTGAAATGAAAAAGAAAGTATGAAATAACATCTTTAAACTGATGCAAATCTTTAAAAGCTTTGATATTCCATAGAATGAGGGTTTAAAGAGGATCTAGAAGAAGAGAAAAGAAACTATCCCCAATCCAACAGGCATACAAAATATTACCCCTGGCTTTTTAGAATAGATGTTGGTATGCATCAGAAAGATTTGTTGTAGATTACATTTGAATAATGCACCAGGTTTGCCTGAGATAAATTTTATAGCCTCTGAATAGTCATAGGTATAAAGTGAGAAATTGGGAGAAGAGGCATATGAATGGCAATGGGTCTCCTGACATGGTCAACATTTGGAATTATGATGCCCCTGGTGAAAGTTATTTCTAGGGCTTAAATTATTTTAGAGCAATTTGCAGAATCAGAGAAAATTTTACTATCTAGCATTCAACCCCACCTTGTTTTATAGTTAAAAACATTTAAATAAATTAGTTCCATATCTTCATAGCCTTCTTTAATTTCTGCCTCTTCTCCCCTGTAATATCCACTACCCCCAGAGCTTCAAGTCTCTTTTCTACACACATGACTTTTAAACCAACACCATGAATCTTGTTGTCAAATGTCAAACCACACTTCTGAGGCATGTGAACATTTCATCTGAATCAGATTTTCCCATTCAATTCCCAATTTATTTCCACAGCACTGAGCGGCTCGTTTTTCTTTCTCCGAACTTCAGCTTATTCCTGTCAGCAAGCTCTCCTCGGAATCTCCCAAATCATAAGCAAATATCAGCTCACACCCTTGGAAATTTTGATGAAGTGAGTTTGGAGTTCAAGCTCAGACACCTGCACTTATAAATCAAGCACTCACTCCAGAAGTTTCTTACGTAAAACAAAATGGGAATATAGCAGAGATGACCACAATTATTTTGTAATGATGATTTCTCCCCTTTTTCGTTTCTCATGTTGCTTCCTATTAACACCCAAACTGTGAAGTGATTCCAGAACATTTCCTGCGGGTACAACTCAGAAGAGGGCCCCTTCTTTTCTAATGGGACAAGCAGGGACATTGGGAAAGTAGGCAGGTATTTCAACTAATGTCACACAACAAAATCTCTTACCAGGATAGTGCTTTTAGTGTGATTGTGTTGATCAGGTTGCAAAAGAACAGCCCAGTTATGTCTTCCTTAATGTTGAGAAAAGTCATGTGATATGACCACTCTGCCTCTCCCCTTCTCTGTTTTCTGAGGTTTGGGAAACCATCTTAAACAATGTTTCCTTTGCAGTATCACCGGTAATTTCATCAAGAAACAGACATTAAGGGAAGCTTGACTGCCTTTGACCCTAAGAAAGTGTCAGATTTTTTTGTAAATTGTATCTACTTAAACTTGCAACACTAAGTAACAAGGAAAATGACTGCCCCACAGGGTGCTCAAATTTACCCTGTGCAAGAAGCTTCAGTGGGGGTTGTGTTGTTGCAATGTAGCCTCCCGTGGCCTATTTCCTAAGTTTTGACTCAGTGCCCCTGGCTGGAGTTTTCCCAGAGCAACTCCAGTTTCTTGAATGCTGGAGTCAGACTCCTTCAGGAAGCCTTTCTTCAATTTATAGAAGAGCACTTTCGGTCTAAATAAAATGAGAAGTGCACAAAGATTTTCACAAGATTCTTACAAATATTATTTATGTAAGATAAACTGCTTTGGTGTAAAAAATGTAGAAATCATAAGATTTTGGCATGTTGGAAATAGAAATAGAATATTATTGAGTATAAAACAGCACGACGAATCAAAACTCCAAAGTGAATTGCAAAAATATTGTTCTTGCAAAGTGTTCTTAAATGTAATTTCTAGGCTTCAGACTGTATCTCTAGTACTTGACCATACGTATCTGTTCCCTTGATTGTCCAGTTTTGGGATCTGGATTCTCAGAGCAGTGTCTGACCAGTCAGCATGCCCCTCCAGTTACTCCAGATAGGTAATAACACTTACCCGGAATATAGGACGTTATTACCGTTTCTTGGAGAAAAATGTATGTGATGGTTTCACTTTGGGAGGATTCTATTGGATATTATGACTCTTCCCATGCAACTGGATAAGCATAGGATTGCCTGATGGATTATCTAATCCAAGGTTTAAGCAGTTACCAGTTTAGTCAAATAATTATTTCAATTAACTCTACTCTCCTACCCCATTCCCGTGGATCCAGCCACAGTTTAAACAGGCAAAAGTGATTAGTTGTTCTGGTATCATGTGGAAAGCATCTTGCCCATTTTTCTAATTATTCATTCAAGGGACAGCTGTCCTTCCTTCCTTCCTTCCTTCCTTCTCCCCTCCCTCCCTCCCCCCATCCCCCATTCCCCCTTCCCTCCCTCCCTCCCTCCCTTCCTTCCTTCCTTCCTTCCTTCTCCCCTTTCTCCCTCCCCCCATCCCCACATTTCCCCTTCCCTCCCTCCCTCCCTCCCTTCCTTCCTTCCTTCCTTGCTTCCTTCCTTCCTTCTCCCCTCCCTCCCTCCCCCATCCCCCCATTCCCCCTTCCCTCCCTCCCTCCCTCCCTCCCTTCCTTCCTTCCTTCCTTCCTTCTCCCCTCCCTCCCTCCCCCCATCCCCCCATTCCCCCTTCCCTCCCTCCCTCCCTCCCTCCCTCCCTCCCTTCCTTCCTTCCTTCCTTCCTTTGGATGGAGTCTCGCTCTGTCACCCAGGCTGGAGTGCAATGGTATGATCTTGGCTCACTGCAACCTCCTCCTCCCGGGTTCAAGGCATTCTCCTGGCTCAGCCTCCCGAGTAGCTGGGACTACAGGCCTGTTTCACCACACCCAGCTAATTTTTGTGTTTTTAGTAGAGACGGGGTTTCACCATTTATTGGCCAGGCTGGTCTAGAACTTCTGACCTCATGACCTGCCCTCCTTGGACTCCCAAAGTGCTGGGATTACAGACGTGAGCCACCGTCCCCAGCTGGGACAGCTGTCTTGTGCATGCTGCCTCAGTAAGACCACATACCTCATCCCTGAAAAGAACCCAGGGAACTCTAGCCAAAAGGACTGGAGCAGTTGGCAGCATAAGCTGTGGGTGCTCACAGTTTGGGGCTGTGAATTTAACTAAGTAGAAATCTTAGTCCTACCAATGACTGCACAGGATACCAAAATGTTTTTGAACTTTGTTTCCTTATTTTTAAAAGGAATATAATGAAATATCATTCCCATTTGGGCTATTTTGAAGTATTGTAAATGCATCACAGAGGGCATTATTTAAGTGCGAACTGCTTTTGGTAGCTAAACCAAATTCTAGTTTCATTATCTGGTGGCTAAACCTGACAGTTTTGTACTGTTTTCTTTCCTTTTCACAGACGGGTTGTTGTTTTGTGATGCTATAGCAGAGCTCACCAACTCAGGATTTTGGTCTGTTTTCTAGCGAGTGTCTAAGGGCACAGTTAATAGAAATGCAACCAAGCTTTCTATCTGTGTTGCCCTATTAACTTTTATACTTAAAATGTACTGCGCTAATATTGTATACAATGCTCTCCAAAATTACGATGCCTTCGGAGTTTCTAGAAACGCAAGGACATGAAAGATTCTTTAGAATGTTCAATAAATTCCATAGGCATTAACACTTTTGCTATATTTTTATTACACACAGAAGGTACAAAACAGAGCAAGTAATACTCACAGGTTCTATCAGCTAAAAACTAGTTTTAACTCTGTGATCAAGGTCACATTACTATTCAGTTTTGTTAAAGCTCAAGGCAAAAATTCTCTGTGCAAGTGACTTGTCACTGGCGCTTAATTTTCATTATGTAATCACAATAGGATAAGAGGGTGCTGGGTAAATTCCACCAAAGGTAAGCTTTCAGATTTTTTGTTGTTGTTGAAATAATATGTATATTTTTAGTACTCTCTGAGATAATAGAAGAATAACCAGGTTATGCTTATTTTAATCCTCTCATTTTGGCTTTATGATGTCAAACTGGATGCAGTTTGCTGAAAATTAGATAGATAAATCTATTTTTAAGCCAGATTAAAGCTGAGCTCTGTTCTATTTTCTGATATATATTAGGTAGTTTGATATGTGGCTGTATAATTTATCCTGCTTACAAGGGTAGTTTTGCTCACAATATTATAATTGTCATAATTCCATTTCCTTTTCAAGCTGAATTCCAAATCAGGAGAAAAGCACTTTCACTAGACGCTGTACTTTTGAGACACTGGACAGCCTCCATTTCTTAGACGCTGTACTTTTGAGACATCGGACCGCCTCCATTTCTTTGCACCCTGATCCCCTTGCACGTTGTTATCTTTCCTGGCTGTGCTGGCTCATGAATTTCAAAAGTGTTTCTGGATAAATATATCAAAAGTCTGCATGTGCGCATCTGAAGTGAGCCCATTTTCTGCCGTTTCCCTGTCATTAGATGTTAAATATTCCAAGCTGGCCCCAGGTTTCCTTTCTGTCTGCTACTCTGGACATACATAGACTAGCAATTCAACAGGTTGTTTTTTTATCACTCTTGGGTCAGTTTCTGGATTCTGCCTGGTTGTGATTAATGTGAGGGACGTCTGTAAAACTCTGCAGAGCACGTGGATTCAGTGTCCATGGGGCAGTCACACAAACACAGATGTGCACACAGACGTACCACAAAGGCATGCACACACACACACACACACACACTGCTCTTTAGTATCATTTATTTATTTTAGCTCAGCAGTGGGTAAGGGGACAGGTAGATCTGGGTGTGCCACGGGCTGAGCAGTCCAGGAGCTCAGCTGTGATGGAACACTGAGGAGATAGCTCCAAACCAAGGAACACAGGGACCCCTGGCCCTCCCTCTCCCCCGTCTCCTTCTCTGCCCACCTCCATCTCTCACTGTCTTGCTGCCTCCTCCTCTCCTTCTTTTTTTTTTTTTTTTTTTTCTCACTTCTGAATTTCTTTTAACTAAAAATATTTTCTGGAATTTAGAAAGAAGTTAATAGCTCATTGGTGGCTGTTCGACAAACAGCAATATTTGACATTTTTTATTTTAATATTTGCAGAAGAGTTATACATTTAAAGAGTTGTTTTATCATGGTTATATATATATACAGGTGATGGTGATAGAATGGCTGGGACCACCACAGGCTGAGCTAGTCCTTTCTTGACTGGTGATGTAGTCCTGGTGTCTAGACTTGGATAATGTGCTATGAATCTAGTTACTCATTCTAAAAACACTTCTAAATTTTGCTTAAATTATTAATAATCTATCTTTTTCTCTTTTATTGTCTTCTTAGCCATGTTCTGAAGTTTTTTACATTCTATTTTTTTTAATTCATCCTCTTTCAATTTAGAAAGAGGTTGAGCATAATGCAAACTAATTTTCGACTGGAATATTTTTACCATCATGAGACTGTCAGCTCTTGTCTAGCCTATTAGCATGCCAAACCAGAAAAAGTGAGGACCTTGCCAATCAGTATAGGGTTAAACCTCACTCTGCCATTTCCCGTGTGACATGAGACAGGACAGCTAACGTTTCTGAGCCTTTGTTTGCTCACCTGTAAATGATGAGCATAGTGATAGTTACTGTGCTGGGAACAACCTTGTTTGGCGAATCAGACCCAGGGCCTGCTGCTGGCCTCTCACGATGCCCACCCGGGATGGGCACTATTCACCCTTTCCTTCTCCCCGCAAAGTTTCTCCATAATTAATGAAACTGTTTTTCTTGTATGACTTCAAATTTTGTTGAGTGATTTTAGGTTTTTCTTCCCTACAATTTTTCACTTGAACTTCTTTCTTCCTTTTTACAGAGTACTGGCCCTTGACAACTGTGTTTTCCTTTGATGCCTATTAGATATGTTTGCGTGAATGTTTTTCTGCACTTACAGTTAAGGAGGATAACCCATGTAGGTGTTATCTTTACTCTTCCCAATCTAGGAAACATATTAGATTAAAATTTTTTAAAGCTTTCATCTCTCAAAAACAAGAATCATGCAGAGTAAAGCTGTGTGCGTGTGTGTGTGTGTGTAATATGCATGCAACACTCTACAACAGCTGTTAGTTGGCTCAGTTTAGGTTTCACGGCCCAGCTTAACTGCATGGATTTATGCAAAGACTAATGGCTTTAGAGTTCTACATAAATTGCTTAAATGAGTTGGGATATCTAAGACACAGTAGTCAAATAAATTTTCAGAAGAAACACTGCAATGCAAATAACTCCAAGTGGTTTGTTAGTATCGTTTCTTTTTCAGTTATCAGCCATAGCTTATTTACCTCACAGATCAGCATGATATCAGAGACACTGGTCATTTGAACAGTCTTTTGGTGTGCTGAACTGTGCCAGGCTGTCAGATTTAACTGTGAGAGGTATGGGGGGAGTTACTGGATTGGGTTTCTCACAAACATCAATGATTTGCTTTGCATACATAACGCAATAAAAATGATCACTTGCTAAACTAATAAAACTTGTCCTATGGCATGAACATCCAGTTACTGTAAAAGCCACTTTTAAAGTTTGTTGCATAGAACTATGGGACAAGGAAAACAGACAAAACAAATAAAAACAAACAAAAGCAAACACGATCTGTTGCATGTTTTAAGACCAATTTGTTTTTTCTTGATAAAGCCATCAGATTTTGGTTGATGTGACAGATGATCACAACTTCATATTTATGATGGTGATAATTGTGAAAGCCGCTGGACGAGATCAACCCCATGCACGTGGATGCTAATTGTTGTTCTGAAGATTCTACCTGTGTAGCTCTGTAGCACAGTGCTGGTAATACTCATATTTCAGAGACAGATCGACTTGCGGACACGAGTTTTGTGGAAAAGGGCCATGCAGCAGAGAGCGGCAGAAGAAAGAGTGAGCCAAGGTTTGTTGTCATCCAGAGTGAATGCCGCCCTCCGCAGCGTGGTTCTGTCTCAGAGACTGTCCAGGAAGACGGCTAGCACTTCACTCACTTTTAAGAGCACTGATTTTATACATTTTGATATGAACTTTCATTTAGTTTGCATATTTTTCCATAGGTGCACATATTCAGTTTCTGAACTTTTCTACCGAAGCCAATCATGACTTCCTCGAGATTCAAAATGGACCTTACCACACCAGTCCCATGATCGGACAGTTTAGCGGCACGGACCTCCCCATGGCCCTGCTGAGTACAACGCATGAGACCCTCATCCACTTTTACAGTGACCATTCGCAGAACCGGCAAGGATTTAAACTTGCCTACCAAGGTAAGAAACAACAACAACTAAAAACCGCATCTAAACATACTTCTTACGTTTACATTGTATGTAAATATAAATCTCCCCAATTGGTTTAAAGCTTGTATGACTGGAATAGTTTTTTGGTGGAATGTTGGTTTCTGGTCAGTTTTTGAAAACAGATAAGGATACAGATGTAACTGCCAGTGGGTTCACCTTGGGTTCACCTTGCCCGCCGTCTAGACAGAGCCAATTTATCAAGACAAGGGAATCGCAGTAGGGAAGGAGTACTTCACACAGAGCCAGATGGGTGGGAGACTGGAATTTAATTACTACTCAAATCAGTCTCCCCAGCTTTCAGGGATTTGAGTTTTTAAAGATAATACGGTGGGTGGGGGCTTGGGAAGTAGGTAGTGCTGACTGGTCAGGTTGGAGATGGAATCACGGGTTTGAAATGAGTTTTTCTTGCTGTCTTCTGTTCCTGGAGATGGAATCGCGGGTTTGAAGTGAGTTTTTCTTGCTGTCTTCTGTTCCTGGAGATGGAATCGCGGGTTTGAAGTGAGTTTTTCTTGCTGTCTTCTGTTCCTGGAGATGGAATCGCGGGTTTGAAGTGAGTTTTTCTTGCTGTCTTCTGTTCCTGGGTACCATGGCAGAACTGGCTGGGCCAGATCGGCTGGTTGGTGTCATCTGATCCATCAGGTTCAGGGTCTGCAACATACCTCAGGCGCTGATCTCAGGCTTTACAATAGCGATGTGATCCGCAGGATCAATTTGGGGAGGTTCAGAATCTTGGAGCCAGAGGCTACATGACCCTTAAACCATAATTTCTAATCTTGCAGCTGATTTGTTAGTCCTGCAAAGACAGACTGATCCCCTGGTAAAATGGGGGTCTTTTCGGGAAAGGGCTATTAGCAGTTTTGTTTCAGAGTCTAACGAAGAACTGAATTCCTTCCCAATGCCCAGGAATGAACAAGGACAGCTTAAAGGTTAGAAGCAAGACGGAGTCAGTTAGGTCTGGTTTCTTTCACTATCACAATTTCCTCAGTTATAATTTTGCAAAGGCAGCTTCACAGACACACAGGGCATGATCAGGCACTTCTGTTACCTAAGCTTCCCTGCTCTCCCATCCCACCTGTGCACACCCTCTCCAGTGGCCATAGCCATCTGCGTGCCAGCCTCAGAGTCTCATTGTCACGTAGCCTTCCCATGTGTTACTGTGTCCCTCTGAGCTCTGGTCCCTTCAGGACAAAGTCCTGTGGCACAGGGTGGTAGGGGGGCTGTTGTATCTCAGGTATGTATGCTTTGCCTGAGCACAAGAAAATGGCTACCTGCGCTATTCATGTTCAAATTTCACCACAAAAAGAGAAAACAGAATCAGTGATTGAACTTTATTCCTTTTTCATTTCTTCAGATATGCAATCTCTAAGGAAAGTTTGCATCATCAAAGCACTTTTGACGTGTGAAACAGTTCAACATTTTTATTTCATACAAAATAACTTGTATGGCCTTTCCTTGAATATTGCTAGATCAAATGAGGTTGAAAATGTTAAATCTAGAGCCTAAGTTTTTTTTTTACTATAGATAAATCAGTTGTTTCCCTAATTCCACAGAATGCTCAGAAACAGGGCTTTGATATTTATTACTGAAAGAGGTTAGTATTTTATGTTGAACTGTTAGACCTTATTATGTATAGTCTCACCTAAAATATAAAATATAGACATCAACTTCCGGGATTGAGGTCTGATAAACTAAAAATCGAGGTAGGAGCAAAAAAGAGAGAAAACTAAAGGCTAAATTAAGGAGCGATATGCCTGTAGACAGCAGCAGCATTTTCATGTGAACAGACAGTGTCTTTCATTGTTCTCCATCTTTATTTTCTTACTCATAGCAAACAGTATCACTCACTAATCATTCCCTATTTGAAATGAGAGAGAGAGAGAGAAAGAGAGAAATCAGAGAGGAAGCAACTTCTTGCAACAAAATGTATACAGATGTACTTGTGTGTGTACCTGTTTTCTGCTCTTTCTCTTTTTCAATGGAAGACAATGTACCTCCTACTTAAAGGTGATCAAGGCCAGGCACGCTGGCTCATGCCTGTAATCCCAGCACTTTGGGAGGCCGAGGCAGGTGGATCAGCTGAGATCAGGAGTTTGAGACCAACCTGACCAACATGATGAAACCCTGTCTCTACTAAAAATACAAAAATTAGACAGTCATGATGTCAGGCACCTGTAATCTCAGCCACTCCAGGGCCTGAGGCAGGAGAATCTCTTGAACCTGGGAGGTGGAGGTTGTAGTGAGCTGAGATCACGCCATTGCACTCTAGCCTGGGTGACTGAGTGAGACTTCGACTCAAAAAAAAAAAAAAAAAAAAAAAAGAAAAGAAAAGAAAGAAAGAAAGGAAAGAGAAAGAAGAAAGCAAGAGAGAGAAAAAAATTTCAAATAGAACTCATCTCTCTCCCCCTCTGTCTCGCACATACACATCTATTTATAATTCTCATGTACCTTTGACCTCTTGTATACCTCCAGTTTCTAATTTCTAAAGCAAAATTCCTGAAAACTTGTATAAACATTCTCAATTTCCACACCTGTTTCTTGCTTCTCCTATCTACTTATCTGGTGTCTAACATGATGGTGTCCTCTAAGGACACCATCTTCTATTTCAGAAGAAGTTAACGTCACGAGCCCTAAAGGCACTCTCGTGTTTCCTGGTGACATCCAGCATGGCTACCACTTCTCTTGACACCTTTTCCCTTGGGTGCAGGGATCACAAAATCTCTGGCTTATTCTGCTGTCTCTCTGGCTGAGTTCTTATTTTCTTTGCTTCCTTGACCATGTCTAACTGACTTTAGCTATATAGGAGGTTGGAATCCCTGTATTTCCATCATGTGCTTTCCATGAGTGTCACCTACACTCCTGGATTCAAAGACTCTGATGGTCATTCATAGCTGATAAAGTGTGCCTATGCCCCAGTTCAATCTTCTGTGAGCCCCAGGATGAGATGTCTATTTTCCTCCTCCACAGGGAAGGACACAGGCACTGAAACCTGTGTCCAAAGCTGAGCTCGCAGTTTTCCTTCCCAGCTTATCCTCCAGTCCCCCCATCTCACTAAGTGTGAGGCACAATGCCCCTGGAATCTGCAGCTGCCTCCCCGTGTCACCACCAGCAGCCCTAACTACTCTCAGACCTTTCTCCTGGAAAATGGCCAAGCTCCTAAAAGTCTCCCCAGACTGCCTCTTCCAACTTCTCTCTTCTTTCCAAAAAGCAGACTAGATTTATTCCTTTTGTGGTGAAAGCCTTCACCATGCTTTCATAGACTTTAGGACGCCATTCAGCATCTGTAAGGAGCCCAGTCTCCCAAGCTATTGTTCATGCTCGCTCCTGGTCCTCAGTTTCCTTCTGAAATGTTTCCACAGCTGCCATCCTTTCTGCCTCAGAGCTTTTTCACGTGTGGCAATCTCAGCCTGCAGTGTTCTCCATCTCCACCCCGACTCCTTGGCTAGTCATTCCGAGCTGTTTATATGTCATACCCTGACGTAGCTAATCTCTGAGTGCTGCGGCAGGTGAGGTCTCCTCATTCGGAAGCTTCACTTCAGATGTGCTTCACCCTGTGTGTTGGTCACGAGCGTTCGTTCCCTTCATTTCTGCACTCAGCATAGAAGTTCCTTCTGAATTAAGTGTGGTGGTGCGACTTGCTTTGGCTGATGAAATTGGAGTGAATGTCACTTGGGATGAAACCACGAAGAGCCAAAATTTAGTTTGCTCTGATGGCGGCTCAGTCATCTGCATCCCTGAGTATATACAGGAGTAGAGTTCCCTGCCATCCCCACCTGGAGCCAGGAGGAAGCTGTCTTATGTTGTCACTGAGATACATGATATTGTTTTTTAATACCATGAAAATGAACCCAAAGTGACAGGCATACCCTGGTGCTTATGAAAGCCAGCAATTTATTGTATGCAGTCAGCTCTCTGCATCCAGGGGTTCTGCTGGCGTGGATCAAGCACTACAGATTGGAACTATTGAAACACAAAACACACGGTTGTGACTCTACTGAACAAATACAGGCTCTTTTTCTTATCGTTATTCCCTGAGCGATACAGAATAACAGCTGTTTACACAGCATCTGCATTGTGTAAGGTATTATTAGTAATCTAGAGATGACTTAAAGTATATGGGAGAATGTGCTTAGATTCTATGAAAACGCTCCATTACTTTATATGGATCCTGTAACCAACCAGCCTGTGTATGCCAAGGGTCAACTGTATTTCTATGTTTAAAGGATGCCTTGCTAAAAGGATACTCTGCATGAAGGTGGTGGTCACTTCTGTCTTATCTTGCTCCACACTCAGCAGGAAGCGCAGTGGCTTGCCTGTAATTGGTCCCCAGGGCACACCTGTGAGCTCCATACTTGAGGTTTTTCTGCCCCAGATGCTAAGGGGACTTTCTGCTGTGCTGCGTAAGCACCTGTGCAGGGCTTGCCTTTATTTGGTTCAGTTCTGTGTTCTGGCTTCCTCATTAAAGTGATTTTTCATCCCTACTCATTGCAGATACTGCTAGCAAAACTCTGTTAAAGGATAAAATAATTGTAGGTAGACAGGAGGAATAAGGTCCAGTGTTCTGTAGCCCTTTAGGGTGGCTGTGGTTAAGAACAATATATCCCGTAATTTCACAGAGCCAGCAGAAGGAGGATCTTCAACATTCCCACCACAAAGAAATGATAAATGTTTGAGATGATGAACGTACAGATGTAGTAATTACCCAGATTTAATCACTATAGATTGTATGCATTGAAGCATCAGTATGTACTCCATGAATATGTACAATTATCTGCTAATTAAAATAGTAAACTTAAAAAAAACAATTTTATTTTAAATTCCAAAGTGTATTAAATAGAAAAAAATTTTAAAAACCAATTCAACCAATTTATATCACTGCAGATACTGGCACAAATACCATGTGTCCAGCCTTGGTAATGTTGGATTTTGTCGGGGGCTTCTTTAAAGAATTGTGCTTTCAGCTAAAGAAGTAC